ACCCGGTCCTTTCCTGCCATCCCCTTCTCCTTAGCCCCCCCTCCCTCCTTCTCCCGTCTTTCCCTCCTCCCCAGGTCCGTTCCCTCCTCCTCTCCTTACCCCTCTCCTCGCTCTTCGTTCCCACTCCTCCTCCTCGCTACACCTGCCTCACCTTCTCTTCCTCCTCCCTCCTTGCTTTTCTGCCCGCCTCGCTCCTCCCCTCCTCCTCCCCCCTCCCCTCTCTCTTCCCTCAGTCTTGTCTACGAGCCCCTCTCCATCTCCCCCTTCCCTTTTCTCCTTCCTCCTCCTCCTCTGCCTCCTCCTCACCCCTCTCCATTTCCCTCCTCCTTTCCTTGCTTCCTGCTTCCCCACTTCCCTCTCTCTTCCCTCCCACTCCTCCCGACTCCTCCCTCTTCCACTCTCCTTCTCGCCCCTCTCCGTCTCTCCACTTTCCTCCCTCTTGTCCCCTCGGTCCTCGTCCGCACTGTTGGCGCGCGGAGGCGTCTGGGAGCGCGGGGTGGGCGTGGCCTCGCGCGGCGCGGGGGCGGGGCGGGAGCAGCGAGGCCGCGCAGGCGCAGACCGCGCTTTCGCCGGCCGGACCGCGGCCGGAGCCTCGCCGACGCGCGGTGGCCGCCGGTGAGTTCGCGCCGCCCGCCGGGCTAGCTGGTCTGTCGCGTTTCGTCGTGGGGGAGGACCACGCACCCCGCGGGGGGACCCCGGAGGGCGCTCTGAGTCCGTGCCCCTCCCCGCCCGGGCAGTGGGTCCGGGGACGGCACCTGTGCCGAGGCGGCCGCTGTTCTCGCTGTTGTCGGGTCGTGGTCGCGGCGGCGCCCTGGCGGGGACGGAGCGTGCGTCCTCCGTGCGGGCGCCGAGCTGCTGCTTCGCGCGCGTGTGCTCCCAGCGCCCCAGACGGGGGTCCCGCCCCCGCGGTGCCCCGTCCCCCGGGCTGTCGGGGATGCGGGTGCTCGGCCCGCCCGGGAAGGCCGGGCACGCGCAGGGGCGGGCCCCCCGGCGATGCTGGTGCATGCGGAAGTTGGAGAGACGCCCTCTTAGCTCAGTAAACCCTTACGGTTGCCCGATCCGGTACCCACTATGACTCACTCATTTTGCAGATGAGGAAACTGAGGCACAAAAAAGAAAAGGCCCCCACAGTGCGACTTAATAACCCCTTAGGAAGCCCTGTGCGGGGCACCATTCTAGGTCTTGATCTGCATTGATTCACTTAATCCTCACAAAAACCCTATCAGGCAGGGGTATTATGTCCCTCAGCTTACAGATGAGAAAACTGAGAGGTTAGGTGACCCGCCCAGGGACACACAGTTGGGGAGTGGCAGAGCTGGGATTCGGGGCTGAGCCCTGTCAGAACAGTGGTCTCCAAGGTGGGGTGTGCGCCAGGCCGCGCAGTGGGTGCAGCCAGAGAACGTTACAGCTCGTGTTCGTGCGTCCTTCCAGTCTGAACAGAGAGTGATTCAGCTTTACACCTTAATTCTAAGATGCATATTTTTTTCACACTTGAACATCTTGGAAATTAGGATGTGTCTTACCATTGATGGTATATTGTTTAACTGGCAGATTTTTTTTTCCTTAGATAAAATCACGGTTTCTTTCCATTGATGGTCTTAGTGTCAATGAAATACGGTATTTAGTAGAAGTAAACACACACACATATATATGATATTTGGTGTAGTTATGTAATTATGGTATTTAATGTGAGTGTATATATACACTTTATGTACATGTATATACGGTATCTAGTATGTGTCGATACACACCTTATTTACAAGGGTATATGGTATTGAGTGTTCATACACTCAGACATGCATATGTGGTATTTGGTGTGTGTAAACAGTGTATATGCCCATGTCTATGGTATGCAGAACAGTGACATATGTGTAATCAGTTTACAGGTATTTTTACACAGACGTATATATGGTATCTAGTGTGCAGGATTACACATGATGTACAGGTATACATGGTATTTAGTACTGTAGCACACAGATATAAGGTCACATACATCTTATATACACGTCGATGTGGTATTTTGTATGTGACTGGCCCACATCGACATGTATATATGATATTTAGTGTGTATGCATCTTGCATACATGTCATATCAGTTCATATCTACCTCGTGTGCATGTATGTGGTATTTAGTGTGTGATTACAGCTCATATACACATATCCGAGGTATTTAGAGTGTGTGCACCTATATACTTGTACATACAGTATATTGTGTGTGTGTATACCTGATATACCTGTGTATTCGGTATTTAGCGCTGTAGTCCATGCATATAGGGTACACATATTTTGTACACAGATATGTTCTCTAGTTTGTATCATGAACATACGGTGTTTCATACTGTGTACTCCTATATCATTTAGATATAAACACCCACAGGTTGCTGCTGGGCTGTTTTCTTTTTTCACCGATTGGGGTTTATGATCACAAGAGCTCGAGGGGAGATCTGGAGCCATGTCAGGGTCGCTAGTGGGCAGAGAGACTAGTTAGAAATGCAGGTTCCCAGACCCTGAATCTGACCAGGTGGGGTCGCGCAGGGCCCTCGGCCCCAGATGACCTAAAAGGCCCTGTTCCCCTCGACCTTGGTCTTTCCAGAGTTCCTTTTTGTAATTTAAAAGGGCCTGTTGTCACTGTGGAAAATCAGTTTGGTGGTTCCTCAGTAAGCTGAACACAGAATCACCACGTGACCTAGCAATTCTACTCATAGGTATATATCCCAAGAACTGAAAACAGGGACTCACATAAATAGTGGACGGTGGCATATTCACAATAGCCAAAAGGTGGAAACAACCCACATGTCCATCAGCAGATGAACTGATAACAAAAGTGGTTTGTTCATACAATGGAGTATTTTGCAGCCATGAAAAGGAGTATAACTGAGACCCACTACCACATGGATGAACCTCGAAAACATCATGCTCAGTGTAACAAGCCAGACACAGAGGGCCACATAGTGTGTGATTTCATTAGGCAAATCCATGGAGACAGAAAGCAGATTTGTGGTTCCAGGGGCTGGGGAGAAGGAGGGCTTGTTAGTGGGCACAGAGTTTCTTTGGGGTGATGGAAATGTTCTGGAACTAGATAGTGGTGATGGTTGCACAACATTGTGAATGTGCTAAATGCCACTGAACTGTACACTTTAAAATGGTAAATTTCATGTTATGTGTATTTGACCATAATAAAAGGAGGGGGGCTTATTGTGGACCAAATCCTATGCAAGTTCCTGGGATAAAGGTTAATAAGGGGAACCCCAGTTTATTGGGGGGAAATGTCATATGTACAGATGGTGATAATAAATAACAATAATAATAAAGCATGTATATATTCCTTACCATATGGAAGGTGTTATTTTAAGGGATTTACTTACACTAACTTGTTGGAACCTCATAATGACCAGCTGACGTGGTTACCTTAACCCCATTTTCCAGGTAAGGAAACTGACGCACAGAGAGGTTGAGTCACTTGTCCAAAGCCACACAGCGGCTAAGTGGCAGAGCTGGGGTTTGACCCCAGGTATCTGGCTCTTGCAGCCTCACAGTTCACAGGCCCAAGGTGACAGTCGCAGGCAAGGCCCCGGTCAGCACAGAGGAGCGCAGCCTTGGTTCTCTCTAGAGCCCCATGAGCTGGGTCAGAGATGGCGGCTGCCCCACTTCTCAGATGAGGAAACTGAGGCAGCACAGGGTGGGTGAGGGTGTGGTGGACGCTGTGAAGCTGGGGACTGATTTCTCTGTCCCTGGACCTTCATCCTTGGGGGCCTTTTCATCAGGTGGCAGAGCTGGACCCCGTGTGTAAGCTGGGCCTGGGGCAGCGGCGGGGGCCCGAACACTTGGGTCTGGGAATGGATCCTGGGTCCACAGCCTGGTGGGGGTGTCTAGGCAGAGGGGGCCTGGGTCTGATCCCACCTGGAGAGGTGCCCCACTCCCCATTTCCTCAGCCACATGGGTAGTTGTTATGAGAGGTTGGGGGATTCGATCAGAGATGTAAAAGACACTTTCCACTCCAAACAAATGGACTGAAGGTATATTTTATTATATAGAGGATAGTAAAGGCGATAGTCTGCAAACAGATCCAAATAGGTCAAATAATAAGAGGGAAAAAAACACCAGCTCGACTGGAAAGGGAAAACATCCACATCGGCTGAGATAGCAGCAGATCCGAATAGGTCATATAATAAGAGGGAAAAACATCAGATCGATCAGAAAGGGAAACACCAGATTGACTGAAGGGAAATGACACAAATCAACCGGAAAGAGAAACACCAGGTTGACCGAAAAGAGAACAGATCAATTACTTCATATCAAATCAGTTACTTCACATCAAATCAATTACTCACAACATCCACGCCCCACTGCCGGGAGAGTCCTGTCAATCGACGCGGCTGGGCAAGGATCACACGTCCTGGGCAAGGTGTCCCTTCCACAGGTGGAACTCTCACCGGGTCTCAGTTTCCAGCAGTTTATATAAGCAGTTACAGAGTTTACAGAGCAAGCATCTAGTGTTCCCATGCACAAAACAGTTATCAGTGGCGTATGTGCACTGAGCCCCCTGGCTAACGTCCCAGCCCAGTAGTTGTGTACGTGCATTGTTCTCTTTGGTTATCGTCTTAGCCCGGCACAGATGGCCAGTCCATCCCTCACTACGATGCTCCAAGAGCCTTGAAATGTTAGAACTTGCAACTCTCTCCGTGGGAGAAAGGCCAGTTCCCACCACACAGAAAGCAGCTTTGTATTTCTTTGTGTGCTGGTGGCTATAGGTCGATGGAGCGGCCAAACATGGCTGTACTCATGTCAAGACAGTGTGAGCCCGTGTGGTGTGTCTGCTGCATCTGTGTGTGTTTCTGTGGATGGGAAGGGGGGTGGGGTTGCCTTTGCTGTGTGTGTGTGTGTGTGTGTGTGTGTGTGTGTGCGCGCGCGCATCCAGGAGGCACGGCTAGGCCTGGTTTCTCACTGTCCCCCCCTCCCTCCTCCAGAGCCCCATCAGCCCCCAGACTCAGCCCCCCATCCCCTGGTCACTGTGGGCCGTGGAGGGATGGCCGCCCAGCTGCTGGCTGACGAGGCCCTGGTGAGTAGTGTTGTCCCCTAGTCCTTCTCGTGGGCGTCTCAGGCTGGGTGACCAGAGAACTGAATGAGCCCCTGCATGCCCGAGCCCTCTCCAGGGCCTGCATCCCTGTCACCTGGGCCAGGCGGCCATGACTATGATGTTATGCAGAGTCGTGCAAGTCTTCCTAGAGAACCATCGAACCTGGCGATGGCCTTGGGGACCCCAACGCAGCCTCAAACCCCGAACCAAGCCAGTCCCAGTGCTGTAATAATGTCATCGTAATCACAGCACTTACCATGTGCCAGGCACGGTGCGGGGGGGGGTCCTGCCCAGGACGACCCACTGAAGCCAGCGCGATCCCCCCCTCCCCGCACCTCTCAGCCCCGGGCCTGGGGGATGCAGGCGTCCTTGTGGTTGCAGGGGCTGGTGACGTTCAAAGACGTGGCCGTGGACTTCACCCAGGAGGAGTGGCAGCAGCTGGATCCCGCCCAGAGGGACCTGTACGAGGACGTGATGCTGGAGAACTTCCAGAACCTGAGCTCCCTGGGTGAGGGGGGTGTCTGGGGAGGACCTTCGTCCTGGTTCACAGCCATCTTCTCGCTGTGTCCTCACACGAAGGAAGGGCTGAGAGGGCTCTGGGGCGGGGACCCTTGTATAAGGGCACTGATCCCAGTTGTGAGGGCTCTGCCTGTATGACCTAGTCACCTCCCCCAGGGCCCACCTCCTAACACCGTCATCTCGGGGTTAGGATTCAACATGGGAATTGCGGGGCGGAGAGGGGACACAAACATTCAGTCCATAGCCGCAGGCCTTAGCCTAGAGCCCTTGGGAGGTGCCTGAGGGGGCTTCTCTTTGCTTTCCCAGCCCCCAGCCCTCACCTCTCCCAGCTCCGGGAGCAGGTGACGTGGGCGACGTTCGTGTTTTCGGTCTCCTTCAGATTTGGAGTCCAGGCCTGAGAGGGACGCCCCAGAGGAAGCTGTCCCTGCAGGAGCAGCCCCGGGGCTGGCCCTGGAAGAGCTGGGAGGGGGCTGCCCGTGGCGCTCTGCGTCCGGAGAGGCCGGGACACCTTCAGGATGCGCCCCTGCAGAGCGTCAGCCGGGAGACCCCCCGCCAAGAATTCCAGAAGGGACAGGGCCCCACAAGTGTGACCCACGGGATCCCGGTTGGGAGAGCCCCCGGAGAGACGCCGGCGGCGGCGAGAAGCCCTGCTTGTGCCGGGAGTGCGGGGAGGCCTTCCCAGGGCGCGCCGAGCTGGCGCAGCACGAGCGCACGCACGCCCAGGACAAGCCGTTCGCGTGCGGCGAATGCGGGCGACGCTTCCGCAGGAACGCCACCCTCGCGGTGCACCGGCGCGTCCACACCGGCGAGAAGCCGTTCGCCTGCGCCGAGTGCGGCAAGGCCTTCAGCCAGCGCGCCAACCTCACGGTGCACCGGCGCATCCACACGGGCGAGCGGCCCTACCGGTGCGCCGAGTGCGGCCGCGCCTTCGTGCAGAACATGCAGCTGGTCGGCCACCGGCGCACGCACACCGGCGAGCGGCCCTACAAGTGCGGCGACTGCGGCAAGGCCTTCACGCTCATCACCAACCTGGTGGACCACCAGCGCCTGCACACCGGGGAGAAGCCCTTCGCGTGCGACGTGTGCGGCAAGCGCTTCACCAAGCGCTCGTCCCTGCTCGGGCACCAGCGGGCCCCCACGGGCGCCAGGCCCCACCAGTGCGGCGTGTGCGGGAAGGCCTTCCGCAAGAAGTCCGACCTGGTCAACCACCACCGCGCGCACACGGGCGAGCGCCCCTTCAAGTGCTACGAGTGCGGCAAGGCCTTCGCGCAGAGCATGACCCTGGTGGAGCACCAGAAGACGCACACCGGCGAGAAGGCGTACCAGTGCCGCCAGTGCGGGAAGCGCTTCACCAAGTCCTCCGCCCTCATCCTGCACGAGCGCATCCACACGGGCGAGAGGCCCTTCCGCTGCGCCGAGTGCGGCAAGGCCTTCAACCAGAACGTGCAGCTCGTGGTGCACCGGCGCAGCCACACGGGCGAGAAGCCGTTCCAGTGCGGCGCCTGCGGCAAGTCCTACAGCCAGAAGGGCTACCTCACCGTCCACCGGCGGACTCACACCGGGGAGAGGCCCTTCGCGTGCCAGGAGTGCGGCAAGGCCTTCAGCCAGAAGGCGCACCTCTCCATCCACCTGAGGATCCACACGGGCGAGAAGCCCTACCGGTGCAGCGAGTGCGGGAGAAGCTTCCGGAAGGTGTCGTTCCTGTTCCAGCATCAGGCCATCCACAGCGACGAGAGGCCCTTCCAGTGCGGTGTGTGCGGCAAGGCCTTCGTGCGCAAGTCCACGCTGGTCCAGCACGGCCGGATCCACACGGGTGAGAAGCCCTATCAGTGCGGGCAGTGTGGAAGGGCCTTCCGGCACCAGCCCACGCTCGCGGCGCACCGGAGGATCCACACCGGGGAGAAGCCCTACGAGTGCAAGACGTGCGGCAAGGCCTTCCGGCGCATCGGGAACCTCACCTGCCACCAGAAGACCCACAGGGCGGGGGAGGTGCCTCCCGGCAGGCCCAGCACAGCGAGAAAGTCTTCCTCCAAGATAACCCCTCAGATAAGGCCAGCTGACAGCGTGGGCAAGTTTCAGCCTCCCAGCTCTTTAGAGTTAACTTAGGGACCTCAAGAGATGCCCACAAGGCTTGTGTCACATTCCAGAGAATTCGGTGAGGACAGGCGACAGCACGGCCTGCTTCATGGGTGTGCAACCTGTGCAACCACACAGGGCCCACACTCGGTTTCATGCCCAGCTGTTGTCATCTCAGAATTCTTAATAGTCTCAGAACAGAGGGCACCATATTTTCATTTTGCACCAGGCCCCAAAAATCGTCATGGGGCCCAGGGGAGAGCAACCCGGGGTTAGACCTGGTTTTGCATGGCCCACAAGGTAAGAATGGTTTTTACATTTTGAAATAAAACAAAAAGAATAGGAGACAGAGCTTATATGGCCCACAAAGCGTAAAATATTTACCATCTGGCCCTTCAGAGAAAGTTTGCGAAGCCTGGTCATCAACCAGCAGTTATTGGTGGGAATTCCAAACCCTTCTTCAACACGCTCTGGCAGAGTCCCTGTTTGGTTTCATGCCTCTCGGTGGTTCCCTCCGGGTGGGCTTCTCGGCTCCAAGTGGAGGGGTTCCAGGATGGGATGGCTCCTCCTTGGGTCTCCCCTGCCGCACCATCCTTTTGTTTGTCTCTAGGCCTCATTGTGGCTCAGGCCCGCGGCTGCCCTTGGTCCTGAATCCCACCTGCTTGGGCCACGAGCGATCTGTGTATCTGGCACTTGATCGAGAATGGAATAAACGCGATTCTCTGTTCAATGGCTGCTTGTTCACCACACGATCTGGGCGTCTCACGCCAGGTAGGTTTTCCCAGTGGGACATTTTCGTAGCTCAGTCTACTCACTCACTTTCATTTTCTAGGGCTGCCATGGCAAATACCGCAGACTGGGGGCTTAAACAGAAGAAATCTATTTTCTTACGTTTTTGGAGGCTAAAATTCTGAGATCAAGGTGTCCACAGGGCTGCTTTCTCCTAAGGCCTTTCTCGTTGCCTTGCAGATGGCCACCCTCCTGCTGCCTCTTCACGTGGTTGTCCCTCTGTGCCCACGTGCGCCCCAGTGTCTCTCTTCTCATGAAGACACCAGCCACTGGATTAGGGCCCACCCATATGACCTCATTTAACCTAATTACCCCTTTAAAGGCCCTGGCTTCAAATCAATCACATTTGGAAGTTACCAGCAGTTAGGGCTTCAACATATGAATTTTGGGGATTCAATCTATAATAACCCCAAATGGCTAGAAATGTAACCTTTTATAACTGTAGCTTATGTCTACATGGTTTGGCAAGCAGGAACAGAGCACCCACCTTGCACTTTGGGTGTCAGGTAGAGCCAGTGCCCCCAAACTCCTCACTTCTTCCTTCCTTTTTGGTGGGGAGTCGGTCCTGGGACGCAGCGGTCCTGCCAGAGAACGCACTTCTTGCTTGCATCCAGGAGGGGGCGTGGACCGCTCCTCCCTTGTGGAGGGTGAGGAGAGGGATGCATCCAAAAGAGGTGGGGCCTTTGCCACTTGCCCTTCCCCCATCCGCCACCTGGATGCCAACCCCCAGGGCGTCTCTGGAAGCAGTGGGTTGAAGATGGTGGAGGGAGCTTGGATCCCTGAGTCAGCCCGTGGAGTAGATCCTGTGATTTGAGAGAGGATTATTGTTCTCTTGTGATTCTGGAACTTCCCAGAGATTCCTGGCCTGCCAGGGAGGGCTCCCTGCCGCCTCCCAGGGTTTCTGCAGGAAGAGCCTCCTCTCTCCATCCCAGAGGCTGTGGGTCTGGCCAAGCCGCCTGGTCCGCCGATCCCAGGCCAGGAAGCCAGGGCTGCGAGGGGCAGGCACCAACCCAGAAGACACCTTCCTCTTATTCTGGGGCAGGCTGCTGGGTTTCTGAGGGTCTGGTGGGGTCTCCAACAGTGGGGCAGTGTCCAAGTGGGTAAGAGTGGAAGGGCCCCCTCCCTCCAGCCTGAAAACTTGGCCAAAGGTGGGCGGAGAGCCTTGTCCAGCTGCCCACGCTGAGGCCGATTGGGGAGATCAGCAGGGCTGGGGCGACGGTGTATCAACCGTGCCTTTTGTTTTCTGGGGCTTTGATGTCTCGGGGCCTTGCTGACCCTGGAGAGACTGCCCCCCCAGGGTTTGCTAATTCCTAGAGATGGGAAACTACTCACTGTAAACACGCTTTTCAAATGCCAACCAACCCAGAGCCCACAGCCGCCACCACCACGGACCCCCCAGCCACTCCCCCACCTTCACCCCCCAGGGCAGGTGCCAGACCACTCGGGGCAGCCCCCATGCCCCAGAGCCCCTGAAATGACTCAGACCAGCTGATCCTAAGCCTGCTCACCCGTTCCTTCCTACCAGCCTGTGGATGTGGGCCTGAGGGACACAGGTCGGACCCAGTCTCCGGGGAATGTTAGGTCCAGAATAGAATGGGCCGGTACCTCAGAAACTCAGTCACTTGTTCACAGTCCAGTCAGTGAGCATTTACTGAGCGCCTGCCATTCACTCTGTCATTCAGCAAACACTTACACAGCGCCTGCTGAGTCCTGGGAAACAACAGTGAGCAAAATGGGCAAAGCCCAGAGCCCTGCACTCATTCCGGTGAGGGAGGCGGATGACAGAGGGAAGATGGGACCAAGACAGACCACAGGGGGAGGGAGTTGCAGTTTCAGGGGGCGATGGGGAGGGTGACGCTTAACAGGGACCTGGTGCATTCAGGGTGCTCCTGAGAAACAAGCTGTATCTTACTCCATATGTCTCATCTAGATCTTACTGTAGATCTTATTATAGATCTTATTTATATATATCCTGTTATATATCTCATTGTATATATAGCATATTATACACATATCTTATATATCTTATTTCATATATTATACATATATAATAGTGTATATTATATAGACATTATATTAATAAATAATATATTAATGTAATATGTGTAATATATTCTAATATATAGTTATATGTACAGGCATACCTCAGAGATATTGCGGGTCTTGTTCCAGACCACTGCAATAAAGTGAATATCACAATAAAGTGAGTCACACAAATGTGCTGGTTTCCCAGTGCATATAAAAGTTATGTTTACACTATACTGTAGTCTATTAAGTGTGCAATAGCATTATGTCTACAAAAACAATGTACATACCTTAATTAAAAAATACTGTATTGCTAAAACATGCTGCCCATCATCTGAGCCTTCAGCAAGTCGTGGTCTTTTTGCTGGTGGAGGGTCTTGTACCAAGTGCAGTAAAGCGAAGCACAATAAACAGGTGTGCCTGTCGATAGTATATATAAGTATACACATTAAGCATGAGTAGGAGAAACACCCACTTCTCCTCCTGGTCACCAGGTGTGTGGGGGTTTCCCCCACACCAAGCAATTCTGCGACACCAGCGGGGGTCCTACAATTCAACTCAACCATTTACCTGGAGATGGGGTCAGATCCCACAGGTTAAGGGCTCAGTCCCGTGAGACTGTGCCCCCCATTTCAGACGCCAACTGCAAGTCCAGGTTGTCACCTGTGCTTCTGACCCACTGGCTATAAATCAGAGGTTCCCACGACCCCCTCCTCGGGTTCGATTAATTTGCTAGAGTGGCTCTCAGAACTCAGAGAAACATTTTACTCACGGGATTACTGGTTTGTTATTAAAGGATATGATAAAGGACACAGATGAACAGCCGGATGAACAGGTACATAGGGCGAGGTCTGGACGAGTCCCGAGCTCGGGAGCTCCTGTCCCTGTGGAGGTGCCGTGCGCCACCCTCCTGGCACGTGGATGTGTTCAGCAAGCCAGAAGCTCTCTAAACCCCATACTTTTGGGATTTTATGGAGGCTTCCTCATGTAAGCCTGATGAATTATTAACTCCACTTCCAGCCCCTCTCCCCTCTCTGGAGAATGGGGAGGAGGGCTGAAAATCCCAAGCTTCTAATCACGGCTTGGTCTTTCTGGTGACCAGAAACCATCCGGGAGCCCACCCAGTCGCCTCATTAGAATAAAAGACACTGCCATCACCCAGGAAATTCCACGGGATTTAGGAGCCCTGTGCCAGGAACCGGGGGCAGAGACCAATACGTGTATTTTCTGTTATCTCACAGAGGGACACAGACATCCAGTCTATAGCAACTCTGTGTTCTGTAGTCTTTATGTAGACTCTCATTTATTCCCCACAGCCGATGCATAAGGTGGGGACTAGTACTACTCCTATTTACAAATGAGGAAACAGAGGTTCTGAGAGGTTAAGAACTTGCCCAAAGTCACACAGCAAGTGAGGTCAGAGTCTGCATTTGAACCCAGGTAGTCTGGCTTCAGAGCCTCGGTTCTTATTGGCTCCCTTATCCTGACCCTTTTTCTTCATTTATCGAATGAGGGCATCTTTGCTCGTTGCTGTAGTAATAGTAACAGCACATACTCGCACATACTCAGTTACCCTGCCCCGTATCCGAGTACTTACTGTGTGCCAGGTTCTGGTCTAAATTTTTTACAAGTAATAACTCATTTCGATGACTCAAGTAACTTTATTTAATATGATAAAAATATGATTTACCTTCCTCCTGGGAGTCTCGTGAAGACTGCATTTGTGCGCTGGTAAACTCGGGGCAGCCTGCATGGGGGGGGGAGCGGGGAGGGCTGTGCTGTGACACAGCCGCACACTCCAGTCCCAGCGCCCTCACTTCCTGGCCGTGACCGTGCTCAGGTCTCTGAGCCTCAGTTTCCCCATCTGCCGACTGGGATGGTGTGAAGAAAACACCGTCGTTTGTGGCAAGTCCTCGGCACATCCCTAGTGCTCAGTACAGGCTAACAGGATAAAGCGCTCCCTCCACCCCCGTATGGAAAAGGTGTTGAACTTCCAATGGCGTCCTCTGGACCCTTTGGATGAATCCCACCCACCTGACTACAGACTCCCCTCCTCACTCTCTCCTCAGTCTCTGTCCAGATGTCTGCTCCTCGGCGAGGCCTTCCTGACGGCTCAACCTAAAGCAGCCTCAGGCCTCACCTGGCTCTATCGCCTTACACTGCCGTATTCTTCTTCATAGCCCAACACCACATTTTACACCTTTTTGCCTCATTTATCATCTGTCTCCCGGCAGAACACAAGCTCCATCGTGGAGGGACCTTATTTGTTTGGTGCTGTACCCCCACTGCCTGTACCTCCAACCGGTGCTCAGGAGATGCTGTTGAATGAGTGGCCAGCGGGGCCTCTGGTGACTCCCTTGGGGCTTGTCTCTGTCCGAGGGCTCAGTCACCACGCCTGTCCCACCTCCCAGGGACCAGGTGGCGATGAGTGGAATCAGAGCTGACGTTCCTTCCATCCCAGCCCTGCCTCCCTGTCCTTTCCTGTTTTATGAGAACCGGGCAGGGCAAGGAATGGTCCAGCAGGGAGAGACTGGTGTCTCCTCTCATGAGTGGGGGCGATGACGCAGCAGAGTGGGTACGGGGTGACACAGATGACAAGAGGGAAGCACAGCACAAGGGCAGAGACGGTGGCTGCTGGCATGAGACTGGCCTCTTTGCTCTCAGAAGGGCCTAGAAGGTTACAAGCTTCCATGTGCCCATTTTATTGAAAGACCATGTCTCACGCCCCCTCTTGACTGCACGATCTGACTCAACAGGTCTGTGAGTGGAGCCCAATGTCGTCTCCCCTTTGTCCTGGATATGCACCTAGACGACACTTCCCAGCCCCCAGAGGTTTGGGTGCAGCCAGCTGCCAAGAGAATGCGGCAGGAGAGATGGGGCCACTTCTGTCCTGGTGCTAAGGTATCAGACACCTCCTCCAGGCTCACTCCCTTCGGCCTATGGCTGGAATGCACATGTGGAGCAAGTGTCCCTTGGGGGGACAGCACAGCAGTGGGATGGAGGAGCCCGTGTGCTAAATGACCACTTGGAGGTGGAACGGGTTTGGGTTTTTTTTTTTTTTGTATAAGAGGGAGAGAGGGAGGGAGGGAGAGGGGAGAGAGAGAGGGAGAAAGGACTGAGAGATGGAGAGAGGGGCTTTGTTCTCTAAGGCTCTGTGCCAGTGGGGGCCCTTGTGACAGCAGCTCACCCGTCCCCTGACTGGCCTATCAATGGACCCTGGAGATCTCATTACCCGCATCGTGAAGACAAGGAAACCGCAGCATAGAGGGGTCAGATGAATCTCGCTCAGGCCACACAACTGGGGTTCACCATCCTCTTCCTCTTCGCTCATGTTCTGTCCAACCTCGTGTCACTTGTCATCACTCGTCACAAGGTCCCCCGCACGTGCCGCCATGGATTGCAGTCACCACAAATGTTTATAACCCCCTTTCTCTCCCAGCCACCCCCCAGCAGGTAGCCTGGGTGCCGTTTAGTTTGACAACAGGAATGGAAGAGTGGGGATGAAGGCCTATGAGCCACGTCGGTACAAGCAGACGTGGGGTGGGACCTCACACCCTCTGCCCAGCCCCGGGGGACCCAGCCCTTGCTGCTCTGCCCCCACCCCGTGGCTGGGTTACAGGAGTAGAGAGGACAGACGGGGCTGAGGGTCCTCCTGGTGACCACGGCAATGACAGACTCCCCAAAGAAGAGGTCGCACGTGCAGACCTCTCATGACAACAGCCACAGCAGCCACCCGATTTTAAGCCACGCTAACCCCCCACGGCATGATGACACTGGGCCGCCTTCTCCGTGTCACCCCACTCTTCCCCGACTGGGATCTGGGTGGAATCGACCCCCCACCCACGTCAAGGGTAGACAGTGTTCCAGGCGCATCTGGGCACTCATTCCCAGTCCCTCTTCACGGCTACCATTTCACGGAGGAGGGCGAGACCCAGACCCAGGCACGTGGCATTTCTCTGGTCACAGCAATCAGTACGTGCGGGAGTCCAACAGAAGGAAGCTTAGGGCTTCTTTGTCAATGACTGGAAGAGGTCTGGCTCCATCTGGATGTGACTGAGAAAATGCGTAGTCCAGAGCAGCTGCTGGAAACCACCATGAAACCACGACAGAAGCCAGCCTGAGAATGAGGCCAACACATGAAGGGAGAGCCAGAGAATCACAGAAAACCACAGCTATGGGGCTGACGCTGCACATCTGGATCAAACCCAGCCTGATACCCACATGGCTGCCAGACGTTTGAAAATCTGTCTGCCTTGTTTATGCATGCCTGAGTGGTTGCTTTTTCTACTTGCAACACAAAGTGTGCTTCCTGATACACATGATTCCTTAAAATGAATTATTTATCCCTCGTGTACACCAGTGTCAGGAAGTGTGGGACATTCAGAAACACCAGGACATTTGTGACAAGTAACATCAAATGTTAACATAAAAAGGGTGGCGTACAAGGCGCCAGAGAAACGAGACTCTGGGGGAACCCACGTGCAAACAGAGCTTCAGGTGGGCCTCAGGAAACTCACCTGGAGTTACCTTCAAGTTTAACGGCAGAAACAACGATAAAAACAGACGGCCCTCGCTCAGCAGTGCCCACTGATTAAGCCCAGTAAGTATTTAAACCCGAATATCAAGCCTGTCGTTATCACTCACCCTCCCCGCTCCCCCCAGCGTTGAAACTGATTTTGACAGGACAGCTGGTACCTGTATCTTTCACACCAATGACTGTTTAAAATGACATTGGTCTCCCTTAATTAAAAGTTTTACCTTTAAAAAATTTAACAGACCACCATGAGCAACTTCGGCATCCCAAGCGGTTACCATTCTTTGCTAACTCTGAAAAAACTTTTTTCCTCTCACAAACGTGCTGACTTCCACTGCTTATTAGCTCGGGGCTTCCAGCAGGCACTGTGGGGAGACTGCAGGGGCCTGGGAAGGACGGTGGGCCCCCCTAGTTCTTACCCCGTCAAGGAAACTCACAGATGGTGACAACCTGCCATCTGGACCAGATGGAGGACGTGTGTGATAAAGGGAGAACTCTCCCCATGGTCACTTGTCAAGTCCATCTCCTCCTCTGCCCACCCCCACTTTACTGTAGAGGGAAGGGTGACCCAGAGACACTAAACGCTTTGTCCAAGCTCCTAGAACAACTTACTCAGAGGGCTCGGTCTGGAACCCTGACCCCCTGGCTCCCTGGGGCTCCTGTAAGTTACCAGCCACCGTGAGCCCTCCCGTGTTCCCAAATCCGTTAGACGTGTCGGGACTCGCTTTCCAGTGGGGCTGTGTGGACCTTCCGTGAGGCAGGAGCAGGGGCGAGCGAGAGCCCGTCCACATCGCCCACATCTCCGGGCGGGACCTCTCTGACACCGCGCTGCCCGCGGCTCCGACGTCAGAACTGCTCACCCCGCCGGCGCGGACTACGATTCCCCCGCCCCTAGGTGTGGATCCCGGCGCCCCCCGCCCCTAGGTGTGGATCCGCAGGTGGCGCGTGAGGTTGGTGTTGCGGCTGAAGGTCCTGCCGCACTGGCCGCAGCGGTAGGGCTTCTCCCCGGTGTGGATCCGCCGGTGCACCGTGAGCGACGAGTTCTTGATGAAGGCCTTGCCGCACTGGCCGCAGCGGTAGGGCTTCTCGCCCGTGTGGATGCGCTGGTGCTCGATGAGGTACGCGCTCTGGCTGAAGGCCTTGCCGCACTCGCCGCAGCGGTAGGGCTTCTCGCCCGTGTGGCCGAGCTGGTGCACGACGAGCGACGAGCGCCCCGCGAAGTGCTTCCTGCAGACGGGGCACTCGTAGGGCTTCTCGCCGGTGTGGACGCGCCGGTGCTGCGTGAGCGACGAGTTCTTGCTGAAGGCCTTGCCGCACGCGCTGCACTCGAAGGGCTTCACGCCGCGGTGGAAGCGCTGGTGCTGGATGAGGTAGGAGCTCTGGCTGAAGGCCTTGCCGCACGCGCTGCACACGTAGGGCTTCTCGCCCGTGTGGCTGCGCCGGTGCAGCGTGAGGGAGGAGCTCTTGTTGAAGGCCTTGCCGCAGTCCCCGCACGCGTAGGGCTTCTCGCCGGTGTGGGTGCGCTGGTGCTCCGTCAGGTGCATGTTCTGGCTGAAGGCGCGCCCGCAGTCCCCGCACACGTACGGCTTCTCCCCGGTGTGCGTCCTCTGGTGCACGACGAGGTGCATGTTCTGGCTGAAGGCCTTGCCGCAGTCCCCGCACGCGTAGGGCTTCTCCCCGGTGTGGGTCCTCTCGTGCTGGGCGAGCGAGGAGGTCTTCCGGAAGGCCTTCCCGCACTCGCCGCACGCGTACGGCTTCTCCCCGGTGTGCGTCCTCTGGTGCACGATGAGGTTCATGCGCTGGCTGAAGGCCTTGCCGCAGTCCCCGCACGCGTAGGGCTTCTCCCCGGTGTGGACCCGCTGGTGGATGGTGAGGGACGACCGCTCGAGGAACTGCTTCCCGCACACGGCGCACGCGAAGGGCTTCTCCCCGGTGTGGACCCGCTGGTGCTTCATCAGCGACGAGCTACGGCTGAAGGCCTTGCCGCACTCAGTGCAGTCGTAGGACCTGGAGGGCGGACTGCGGTCTGGATTACCTGAGCAGTCCTTTCCACGCATGGCGAACGGTCGGGCCCCCTCTTCTCCTGGCTCGCCTGGTTGTGGGGGGACCAGGGTGGAGCTCCGGTTGGTGAGGGCCTCGAACTCACGACATTCGGAGGCCGAGTCCCCGGAAATTTCCAGGCGCTCCAGACGGCCCTCTGCGCTTCTCTGCTGCCTCTCCACCCGGTCACCCCACGTCCACGCTCCTTCAAAGGTGGAACCCCAGGCACCATTCCTCAGAGGTCCTTCCGCAACCACCCCAACCGACGGTCTGCCTTCCAAAATGTGCTCCTTCAGATCCGATTCTTTCATTTCAGGTCTAGTCTCCAAGTCTGGGGCAAGGGAAAGAGAAGATGAAATACATGTAGTTAACAACGCTGGCAGCAAGGAATTCCGAAGCCAGGGGAGTGGTGGTAAATGAAACGGAAGACATGACAAGGCACAGACTGAAGAGCAAACGACAACCTGTAGATCAGAGGGGAGCGAGAAGGGAAGCAAGGAGCTCAGGATGCAGAAGCAACATACAAAGCCAAGCGAGCAAAGAGAACAAGAAACGTCCCTTGGGAGGGGGGTGAAAAGGCAGCCAGATGGGAGGGCTCGGAGGAGGGACACCTGAAGAGAAACCACAGAAGTATGCCTCCCAAGCTTGGAGGGGGCAGATCAGAAGGCTCCTGCAAACCTGAGTGAGGAGTTATTGCAACGGGCTCCTCTCTTCCAGGGTTCATCCTGAGTATCCCCGACCAGCTATGCTTCTCAAAGCATTGATGTTTATTAGAAACAATAAACTGCTCACATTCCTGTGGCGTGCGCTGGTTACCCTCCGTCTCCCCGCCCGCCGGCCAAACTCCATCCCTCCCTACCTTGCCCGGTGCCCCCACTCCTGCTTCCGCTGTCCAGCCCTGGAGCAGCAGGTGTCCCTCAGAGCTGGTGCCAGACCCGCTTCTCTTCTCACATCCCTCCGTCCCTGGTAATCACAGCCAGGCCGTGGCTTCCATCCCTTCCTGGGTGTATCCTCCTAAATCTCCATTCCCAGTCTAGGGGGCTCTCCTGAGTTCCAGACTGTATCACAGACCTAATGGCTTCACTCTCAACATTTAAAAATTGTATGATCTTACACAAAAATCTTATAAAAAATGGGAAGAGACAGCCACATGGAGCCCCCATTCCTATGAGGCAACCAAAAGCAGGAGTGGAAGCAATGGTTCCCACTCCCCCATTTAAACCCCCACCTGGCCCCACGACCACTTGAGTCTGAGACTCCTCCTCCCTAAGTCTCACCAAAGGGGTCTGGATTGCAGTATCTTCTACATGCTGACGCCTCCCAAATTTATGCCCGCAGCCCAGACCTCCTCTCTGAGCTCTGCTGAGGAACATTCAAAAGCGGACCTGGCGTCCCTCTGTGATACCTCAAACCTGACACATTTGATATGAAACTTGTGATTTCAAAACCCATCCCCCAAAAAATGATTAAAAAGAAAGAGGCTCATCAAAGAGACTTAGTGAAATAAGTCAGACACAGGAGGACCAACCCTGTCCGACTCCACTCACACGAGGCACCTGGCAGTCAGTTAAGTTCCCAGAGCCAGAAGCAGAAGGGCGGTTCCCAGGGGCTGGAGGGAGGAGGGCGTGGGGTCAGTGCTGAATGGGCGGAGTTGCAGTTTGGGAAGATGAAGAGAGTTCTGGAGATGGATGGTGGCGATGGTTGCACAATAGTATAAACGTACTTAACACCACTGAACTGTACACCTAAAATGGTTAAAATGGTAAATTTCATGTTATGTATATTTTACCAAAAATTTTTTAAAAAGACCTAGCAGTCATCTTGATTCACCCCTTCCCTCCAGCATCCAGACAGTGAACAAGTGCCACTGGACACGCAGAACAGCTTGAAGTGGACCAACTCTCCCCGTCACCACTGCCAGCGACCTGGTCAGCCACCACCTATTTCCTGTCTGAAATGTGCTGCAGCCTCGACCCTCGCCCTCAACATCGCATCCTCCACTCAGCGGTAAGAGGATCTTCTTCGAGTCAAACCAAACCCTCCAGCATCTTCCCAGTGCACCGAGGATCAAAGCCAGTGCCTTCCCACAGGTCCATGGGGCCACCTCTTTTACCTCGCCTCCCGCCACCCTACCCCGCTCGGTTTCCATCAGCCACACGCGCTCTGGGGTGCCTTTTTATTCCCATGTCCACGCCAAGTTCTTCCTGCCTCAGGGCCTTTGCCACTGCTGTCCCCCCACACCTTCCCATGGGCGCTCATCCTTCAGGCCTCAGTTAGCAATCGTCCTCCATAGGGAGGCCTTCCCAGTCCATCCTGTGGTGCAAAGAAGAGCCCTCCCACTAGTCTCCTGCCTGTTTCATCGTGAGCGCTCACTATGGTCTGTGACGACTTTCGTTTGTCCCTTGATGTGATTATTACCAGCTCCCCCAGTGGGAAGTGAGCCCCAGAAGGACAAGGACCTTGTCCGTGCCAGCTCTACAGCCGTGCCCGGCACACAGAAGGTGCCAGGTGAACATGGAGCATCTGCTACGTGCCCAGCATGGCACTAAGCAGCCTGTGTGGAACTTTCCATGCAATCTCGACGACCATCTGTGACTTGGGTCCTGTTAGGATTAGACCCATTTTACAGATGAGGAAACTGGGGCTCTGAGAATGAAGTCACAGACTCCAGGTCACACAGCACATAGGAGGGCAGAGCCGGGATTCAGGTAGTCTGACCCCAGAGCCACAGGCCTGAGGAGTCACTGTCTCGCCATGCATCACTTACCTATCCTGCAGGAAAGGGTTTGAGAAACACTTAAGGTAGGAAAGCTATCCTGGTTTGGGGACCTTGGAGTGTGGCATGATGCCCAAATGTCAGGGCAGACTGTGGCATGGGACACGAAGGCCATGGGGTGGGAGAGGGTAACTCCTCAGTGGGAAGAAAGGAAAGGTGACAGTGGGTTTGGTTTCGGGCCAATGGGCTCTGAGACCCGCTGGAAATAAACCGGCCCGTGGCTCAGAGACCGGAGCAGGTGGGGAGTCCTGGCTGTGCACACAGTTGCAAGTCTTTTGGAGTAAACACTAACTGGAGAAGTCAGGACAGCTGGAGGCAGAAAGCAGCAGAACCCAAGATTAGGGGGCAGGGGAAAGGAAGCAGCCTCCTTTTCCTGGATTGAAACCCTTCATTTTGCAGACGAAACTCATCTGCAAAAAGCAAACACCCAGCTCTCACTCGTGAAAAGCTGTGAAAACACAGCTCGACATCAGCCAGATTAAACCACCCCGCCACACGGCTTTTTCACCACGCAGATCGGCAAAGAGCGAAGCATCTGATGACACATGGCTGGCGATGGCGCGTGGACTCGGGCGTTCTTGCCCACGGTCAAGAGGAATGTTAACAATTTCTGCAGAGGCCATTTTGGCAAAAAGCTGCTAACATACAAAATGCTATGCATTCCTTTTGGTCTCAATGTGGATGTATTTTTTTTTCACAGTACTAGGTTTCTTGTCCTTCAGAGTCTGTTTTTCCATATTCTGTATTTCTACAATTGTTTTTGATCACAAAGTAATTCACACTTGTTAAAGCATCAAACACCAAAAAATAACTTATGAAATGGAAGTCTCTGTAATCTCACCCATCTGAATTAGCAGTTTGTTGTATATTTTTAGAATGTTTTTCCCCAGTGCATATGTTTTGAACAAAAACACACAACACACCTGTATGCACACACACATAAGAATGCACACTTTTTTTTTTCTAAATGGGGCTTCCGGCCAAGATAAGAGTATCAGGGACAAGATTTCCCTCCAGCCTACAGCCTAAAGCAATGGGGGAAAAAAGGACAAATTATATAAAACAAAGGTTTTCAAGACACTGGACATCAGGCAAGGAAGGGCAGTAGTTCCTGAGAGATGGGAATCCAAAGAGGCAGGCCCTACGCCCACCCAGCTTACGCATTGGCAAGTCTGCAGGCCGCAGCACAGGAGGGGAAACTGAGGCCAAGCCCAGCAGACTCCCTGAGTTGAGGAGATGGAACTGAGCAATGAAGGCAAGTAGAGTTCACAGGACAGAGTGCAGGAGAGGAGAGCCGGGCAGACAGAGCGCTCCGGAGATCGTGAGGCCCCCTCCAGTACTCAGATTACTGATCAGAACACACATGTACAGAAACTACCTGAGGATGGGGAAAAACTACCCGAAAGGATCTGAAAACAGTCCTGGGAGCGACGCAGGGCTGGGTCAGTGGCTTCTCACACCAGCCGGCCACGTTCCTCACACCAGGTGATTCATGGAGCATCGGGCAGAACGCTCAGAGGGTCGTGTGGAAGATAAGTCGTCCTAGATGGAGCTCAAGCCATAAAGGCAAAAAGTGAGAGCAGATCAAATGACACGGTGTTGGTGTCAAGACGGATAAATCGATGGATGAGACAGAACAGAGTCCAGGATTAGACCGACACATATGTGGACAGCTGATTTTGACAAAAGTGCAAAGGCAATTCAGTGGAGAAAATTAAGTGGAAATTTTTCAGTGGAAAAATTCTGTCTTTTTAATAAATGGCAGTGGAACAACTGGACATCCGTTTGATGAAAAAAAGAACTTGAATTAACGCCTTATATCATTACAAAAACTAAGTTTAAAGAGATCATAGAACAAAATGTGAAACCTAAAACTATAGAACTTATAGAAGAAAACCCTTGTGGCCTGGAGACAGGTGAAGATTTCTTAGATACAACACCAAAAGCACAATCCCTAAGGACAATAATTGATAAACTGGACTTCTTCAAATTAAAAACTTCTGTCTTCAACAAATGGTGCTGGGCACCTGGATATCCACATTCAAGAGTGACGTTAAAACTGTTTTTACCTCATTCACAAAAATTAACTCAAAATGGACCAAAGACCTAAATGAAGAGCTAAAACTGTAAAACTCTTAGAAGAAAACATAGGAGTAAATCTTCGTGGCCTTGGGTTAGGCAATGGTTTCTCAGATATGACACCAAAAGCACAAGCAACAACGACAAAATAAATTAATTGGACTACATCAAAATTAACAACGTTGTGTCTCAAATGACACCATCGAGAAAGAGAAAAGACTACACACAGAATGGGAGAAAATATTTGCAAAGCATATATCTGCTAAAGGACTTAAGAAGAAGAATAGAAGAATATATAAAGAGCTTTCAAAACTCAATAATAAGGAAACAAACAACCCAAATAAAAAAACAGGCAAAAGACTTGAACAGACATTTCATCGAAGAGAAGATACAGATGGCAAATAAGCCCATGAAAAGATTCTCAATATCAAATGAAAACTACAATGTGGTAAGACTACACACCAAAGGGAATGGCTACAACGAAAAAGATTGAGTGTACTGTTTCCCCAAGCAGTGGAACAACTGGAACTCCCCCGCACTGCTGATGGAAACGTTACACGGTACAACCACTTGGGAAAAAAGCTTGGTAGTTTTTAAAGTGTCCAACCCTTCTATTCCCTGGTGTTTACTCAAGAGAAAGGAAAGCACATGTCTACAGAAAAACCCATACATACATGTTCATAGAGGCTTTATTTGTAATAGTCCAGAACTGGAAACAACCCAAGTGTTCTCCACAAGTGAAGGATAAACCAACTGTGGTCTATCCATAAAGTAGAATATTACTCAGCAAAAAAAACAAGTGAACTGGGGCTGGCCCAGTGGCATAGTGGTTAAGTTCGTGCACTCTGCTTTGGCAGCCCAGGGTTCACTGGTTCAGATCCTGGGCGTGGACCTACACACCACTCATCAAGCCATGCTGAGGCGGCGTCCCACATAGAAGAACTAGAAGGACCTAGAACTAGGATATACAACTATGTACTGGGGCTTTGGGGAGAAAAAAGGAAATAAAAAAAAGAAGAAGATTGGCAACAGATGTTAGCGTGGGGCCAATCTTCCTCAAAAACAAAAAAACAAGTGAACTACTGATACATACAACATGAGTGAACCTCAAAATAATTATGCCAAGTGAAAGAAGTTAGACCAAAAAGAGTACATGCTGTATGATTCCAAGTATATAAAATTCTAGAATATGCAAATTAAACCACAGTGATATAAAGCAGACCAGTGGTTGCCTGGAATGGAGGGTGGGTGTGGGGACGGAGATAAATGGGCACAAGAAACTTTTTGGGGTAATGGGTATGTTCATTATCTGGATCATGGTGATGGTTTTCCAGGTGTATACAGACATCAAAGTGTGTCAAATTGTTCGCTTTAAATATGTGCAGTTAATTGTAGGTCAATTGTACTTTCAGGAAAGCTGTTAAAGAACTAGGACCATACCCTCCTTTTGAAAGTTAGTGTTTTTACCTAAAAATATATCAAGGGACATCTATCCATGTCAATGCTTCCAAAGAGTGCTCATCTCTGAAGAGCTGCATGGTTTCCATCATATTAACATAGCTTGATATGTTTAGTTAGTCTTGTAAAGGTGGGCATTTAGGTCGTTTCTCTGTTTTTCTTCCTACGTAAAACTTTGCACACTTACAAGAAGATTTCTAAAGGATATATTCCTAAAAATAGAATTGTTCAAAATTTGGCTGATAATGCCAAACTGTCTTCCAAAAGAGTTGTCCCAATTTTATATTCCTAAAATGAGAGAGTCCCTTTCCCTACACCCTGACAATACAGGCTATCACCATTCTTTTTCATTTCTGCGTACCTCATGGGCAAAAACTTTATTTCTTTGACTCAATTTGTATTTCTTTGACTATTAGTAAGGTTTAAAAATATTTTATAAAGTGTAACCTCAAGAATTTCTACATCTATGAATTGCCAGCTTGTAAGTTTGGTCCATCTTTCTATCATCCACTCCTTCTCTTATCTATTCCTAGGAGCTCTTTATAGAATTATAACCCTTTGACCATTATACATGTGGTAAATATTATTCCCCATTTCATCACCTATCAACTTTACTTTTAGCTTTGAGTAGAGTAACTTAAACTTTCTACGTAGTCCAATCTGTCATTCTTTTTTCTTATTATTTTCGTAGTCCTCAAGTGACAGGCCAATGGCGAGTAACTCAGCGAAGCTGCCGCCTTACCCAGTGAGACCAGGTTCCGGAAGTTCTCCAGCATCACATCTCTGTACAGGGCCCTCTGGGCCAGATCCAGCTGCTGCCACTCCTCCTGGGTGAAGTCCACAGTCACATCCCTGAACGTCACTGATTCCTGTAAGAGGAAACCCACAACCACTCACCGCAGGGCCCTCCTTACCGAGGTCTGGAGAAACATCCAGAAAAGCCAAAAGGATTTAGGGAAGGCAGACAGGATGTATCTGAAGTGATTTCAACAAGGTGCAGAGTTCTGAAGGGACCGACCACTCACAGTTTCCTTGGTGCCTGATTCTACTGGGATGGTCCTCAGACAGAGAAATAAAACAAATACGAGACTGTTTAGAGCAGCAAGTCACAGATCTGAGAAACAGAGAAGGAATCAAAGGCAAAACGCTCATAACCCCATAAATCGACACACGCGTCAGGCACCAGCCACGGCAGGATCCTGGATGGAATCCAGAAGTTCCACACACTCTCCTGAGCCCCCACGAAGCTGCAGGCACTGGGCTGCGTGCTGAGATCAGACACGGAAGGTTCAAGAACTAGTTCCTCATGGGAGAGGCAGCGGAAAACACACATTATTGACCCACAATCTGGTCACTACCACCCTGCAGGTCTGAACAAAATTCTCCAGGCGCCTGAGCAACTGCAGCTTTAGGGGGCGTCCAGGAAGACTTGAGAAGGGTGAGGCCAAGTGTAGTCTGGGGGAGAACTAGTGGTTGGGTCCTTGGGGGGAGATCCAGGGGTGGGAGGGTTGGATCAAGACCTGAGGCTTAAAAGGCAGATTAGCCCACCAGGAACGGTGAGAAGTTCACATGGCGGAAGCAGAAGCACCTGCCCGGCTGACGCCGTTACCCTGTGGGTGATGAGTGTGGCCTAGCATGGCAGGTGATGATGAAGGTGACGATGTTGATCAGAACGGTGACAAGACCCATCACTTATTATGTAGTTGCTCTGTGCCAGCTACTGTTCCAAGTGCTTGCTGTGGGCTGAATTATGTCCTCCCCCAGATCCCTATGTTGAAGTCCTAACCCCCAGCACCCAGAATGGGACCTTATTTGGAAATGGGGTCATTGCAGATATAATTAGTTAAGATGAAGTCATACTGGAGAAGGTGGGCCCTAATCCAATGTGACTGGTGTCCTTACAGAAAAGGGAAATTGGGCAAGAGACAGGCACAGAGGGAGAACACCGTATGCAGACGGAAGTTATGCTGCCACGGTCAAGGAACTACCAGAAGCTAGGAGAAAGGCCTGGAACAGATCCTTCCCTAGCGCCTTCAGAGGGAGCAGGCCCGCTGACACCCTGATCTTGGACTTCCAGCCTCCAGAACTGTGAGAAAATAGATTTCTGTTGTTTAAGCCGCCCAGTCTGTGGTACTTTGTTTTGGCAGCCTGAGCAGACTGATAAGTCTGTCTGGCTCACTACTGTATCTCAGTGTTCAGACCAATGCCTGGCATACAGTAGATGCTCAATAAATAGCTCTTGAATGAATAAATGGACCCATGAGTAAGGGTGACGTGAGGATTAAACAAGTTAACCCATGTTTGATGCTCAGACCAGCGCACAGCATACAGTAGGTGCTCAATAAATAGCACTTGAATGAATAAATGGATCCATGAGTAAGGATGGTGTGAGGATTAAACGAGTTAATCCATGTTTGATACTGAGAACAATGCGTAGCATACAGTAGGTGCTCAGTAACCATCAGGTACTGTCACTGACACCCGCAGGTCCTTGGCTCACTACAGCTCCCACCCATGCACCCTGAAGCACGACTCACCCTCCCTGGGAGGAGGCCTCACCTGGTGGCCAGTCATTCCCATGTGCCCATCCAGGGGCCCTGGGCTCACGCTGGCCTCCTCTGCCTCTGGCCACCACCACTTGATGAGGGGGCAGTGCAGGCCAGTGGTTAAGTTTGGGCTCGGGAACCTGACAGCCTGCAATGAAATCCTGGCTCTGCCTGTCCACGGCTGTGTTTCCTTGGGCAACTGTCTTAACCTTTCTGAGCCTCGTTTGTTCAATGGGCTTCATATTAACAATGTCCCCCTTAGTAGCTGTCGTGGGGGTGTAATGAGGTAAGGCACATATGGTTCCAGCACTGTGTGGAGTAAGCTCTCAATGAACATCAACTATTCTATTATCATTTGATTAATTTTGACATTTCATACATATCTTGTATATATTTATATTTATTATTATTAATACTTATTTTATTATATTATTATTGTTTATTTGGCCCAATATATCCTTTGGCCAGCCCAGCTATTAATCTTTTTATTTTTTTGTGAGGAAGATCAACCCTGAGCTAACATCCAATGCCAATCCTCCTCTTTTTCCTTGAGGAAGACTGGCCCTGGGCTAACATCCATGCCCATCCTCCTCCACTTTATATGGGGTGCCGCCACAGCATGGCTTCACAAGTAGTGCATCAGTGCGCACTCAGGATCCGAACTTGCAATCCCCAGGCCACCGAAGCGGAACGCGCCCACTTAACCGCTATGCCACCAGGCTGGCCCCCCCAGCTATTAATTTTATTAAACCACTTTACAGAGGAATGACTGACATACAAAAAACTGCACATATTTCATGTATACAACTTGATAAGTTTACAAGTGTATACCTGTGAAACCACTGCCACACTTGAGGCCACAAACTTACCCATCATCTCCCAAAGTATCCTCCTGCCCCCTTCATTTTTTTGTTTTAATTTTTAAAATGTAATAATTCCTTCTGAAAGTCTTCCCTAAGTATGCTCCACTTCAATGAACTCCCTCAATAATATATTGACTGAGCAGGCTCCATGTACCGAGCCTGGGCAGGCACTGGGGAAGCACTGAACACAAAAATCTTGGAAGTCTGGGAGCCCACACCTTACAGCAAGGATGCTGGGAGGGCAGGGGGATGCTGGGAGGGCAGACGGCAGGGGGATGCTGGGAGGACAGACGGCAGGGCCCACCCTCCTCTGAAGAGTCCGGGAGATCCCCCTAGATATGGGGTTCAACCCAAATGCACTGAACCTCTCTGAGTCCTTTCTGTGTATGTGTCTGAGGCCACTCATTCTAGTGCTTCATCTATTTTGGTTTGCTGTCTAACGCACAAACAATTTGCCACAGGAACATCTCACCAAATTCCAAAGAGCTGAAATCAGACAGGCTCTATTTTTTTTTTATCAGAATGTAATTACACTAGAACTGCTTAAGAAAAAAAATTTACACCAAAAATCCCAACCACACTGAAATAAAAACAATTGACAAGTCCTTCTAAATAACGTAGGTAGAAGAAATCAAGACAACAATCACAGACAAGTTAAAAATGAGGACATTATGTGGCCAGCCCGGTGGCACAGCAATTAAGTGCGCGCGCTCTGCTGTGGCGGCCCGGGGTTCGCAGGTTCGGATCCCGGGCGCACACCGACGCACTGCTTGCTAAGCCATGCTGTGGCGGCGTGCCATATAAAGTGGAGGAGGATGGGCACGGATGTTAGCCCAGGGCCAGTCTTCCTCAAGAAAAAAGGGGAGGATTGGCATTGGATGTTAGCTCAGAGCTAGTCCTCCTCACAAAAAAAAAAAAATGAGGACATTACGGTGCACCTGCTTTAAATAGTCAAGAGTTCCTTAAATGGTTAAATAGAGAGTTATCATACGACCCAGCAGCTCCACTCCGGTAAATATCCAGAGAACTGAGAACAGCTGCCCAAACAAAAAACTCATACACTAATGTTCACTGCAGCATTCCTAGTAAGACCCAAAAAGTGGAAACAACCCAAATGCCCGTCACCTGATGAATGGATAAATAACATGTGGTCTCTCCATACAGTGGAATATTATTCAGCCACGAAAAGGAATGAAGCACTACTTAGGCTACAGAAATGTCCAGAATAGGCAAAAGAGACAAAAAGTCAATTAGCGGTTGCCAGGGGCTGGGGGTCGATGGGGGAAATGGCAGTGAGTGCTAACAGGTACACATTTCCTTTATGGGGTGATGAAAATGTTCTAAAATTGACTGTGGTGATGGCTGCACAACTCTGCGAATATGCCATGAACCCATGAATTGTATCCTCTGGGGTATGTGGGGTATATCTCAATAAAGGTGTTAATAAGGACATGACAAACCAAAACTCACAGATAAGTGAACTGACACATCTAGACATAAAAATAAATTCCAGGTGGATATAAAAGATTCAAAAGTTCACTGTTAACATCCAAATGATAAACGGAGAAAAGTAAGAATACAGAGGTGATGTGTGACCTGTGGATGGAGAAACCCTTTTACAGCTTAAAGACAATGGAGGACACCACAGAAATGGAGAGATTCGATTTTAAAAATATGGAATGCTTTTGTACTTAAAAATATGAAATAAATAAAAAGCAAACCTGGGAAGAATATTTGCCACAAATATTTACACACACATGCACTTCTTTAAAATCTTCAAGAATGCTAAGATTCCTGTGCACTGGTAAACCACAAGATAGATAACTTACCCACCTGCAGAAATGGCTAATAACCATTTCCTAAAAATCAAACCTCACAGAGAATACAAACAACGCTACTGAGAAAGAGATCACGTGATGCCATTTGTCACCTACCACACTCAGGGTTTATACCGCTTGTCATTTATATCCATTTATCATTTATATCCAACATGCAGAATAAACACCCGACAACGGCCAGTGTAACCGCAAAGCTGGTGGGAATGGATGCTGCCCCAACCAACTGGGAGAGTACTACGAAGACTCACTCAGGAAACGCCTCAAAAATATTGAACCCAGTACTTCAAGGAATCATCCCTAAAGAAATCATACAAAACGCAGGGAAGGATTTATGTCCAGCCATGTCCCTCGTGACATCATTTATAATCACAAATAACTGGAAACAAATGTCCAACAATCAAGGAACCATTAAGTGAAACAGCCATGGCCACTAGATAAAATTTTTATGTAGCTTTTAAAACAGATGTTATCGAGGAGTCTTTAACCACGTGGAGAAATGCTTAGGATGAAATCTTCAACGAAAAAGCAGGAAATAAAACTGCTTAGCCAGGGTGATTCTTATTTTTGCAAAACAACACGCAACCAGGGAAAGACACACCCTTCGAGCGTGGCTGTCATTGGGTAAGTCCACAGTGACTGACTGACTCTCTTAGCTGGTTCTGCTGGGTTTTCTGAGCTTTTGATAATGATCATGCATTTCCTTACCTACCAGGAATTTTCTCTTATGATTCATAGCATCAAAAAGTGATTTTAAAAAAAGTCAAACCCACCAATACTGGATGAACATTTGGGTCCACTGACTATGCAGCCAAAACAAAGGCAGGGGAAATCCCTACTGCATGAAGTTAGATGAAAAAAACCCTCAAGATTAAAATGGCAGAGCCAAAACTTGGTTGATTTTTAAAAATAACAGTCAGAGAAGGGAGACAATAAATGAACACACAAATATCCACATGGTTATCTCTGGGGAGAGGAACGAGCAGGGAATTACATTGTCTCACCTACAGTTTACTGGATTTTCCCCATTTTTCATAAGAAGCATTTATATATATGTGTGTGTATATATATATATATTACGAAATATTTTTTGCATGAAAGAAAGTTTAGAGAAAAACACAACAGCCACATAACGCACCCCCCACTAAAACGTCATAACACATCCAGGAGAGCAGAGAGCCCGCGTGCCCACCACAGGCCCCGCCTCCCTCTGCCAGGGGCACCCACTGCCTCACACGTGCACCTTGGCCCAGCACAGGTCGGTGCTTTCGCCGCACACATGGGTGTTCAGAAGGGACATTCAGTGTCTGCCCACTGTCACGCGTCCAGCATCGTGCTGCTCAGTCCCTCTGCAGGGGCCTTTTCCCACGTGATGTAACGTGTTTAAGCCACCACTTCCCAGGTGTCCTGTCCCCCAACGTTGACCAAAGCCAGTGTCAGGGCACCGCCCTCCCTCGTCAGGGCAGACACAGCTCCCAGGAGACCGGGCCAAGGCTGTGGGCCCTGGAGGGGTCAGGTGGTCAGAGGGTCATCCCTGAGCAGAAGCCTCTGGAAATGAGTGTGAGGCGACGTGACTCACCAGGGCCTCGTCCCTCAGCAGCTGGGCAGCCATCCCTCCACTGCCCACGGTGACCGGGGGACGGGCGGGCTGTGAGGGGGAGAAAGAGGGAGGCGCATTGAGAGCCCAGGCCTCGGCCCTCACAATGCAGACGGGACAGACAGACAGAGAGGGACACACACATTAACAGAGGACACTTTGGATGCTTACCGCATGCAAGGCACTTGACAAACGTCTCTCAGTTAACCCTCCTGACACGTCTCCAAGGTGGACACCAATTACAACCACCCCATTTCACAGATGAGGAAACTGAGGCCCAAAGAGATGAGCCACTCGCCCAGTTGGGATTGGAGCTGGGCTGAGCACATCCAGGTCCTCGTGCTGCACCACTAGGCTGTGCTGTCTCTCAAATGCATGCCCGGACACCGGTGCACGGAAACACCCCCGACACACACACACACACACACACACACACACACACACACACACACTGCCATTCCCTTGGGCTGTGGGAGCAACAGGACCCGCTGTCCCCTCCCTGGCTCTCAGTGCTGGCCCGAGGCCCCACCAGACGTGCCAACGTTTGTCCCCACCCCTGCGGGCGCTTCCCCACTTCTCATGGGGTCACGGAGAGGTTCAACCAACAGACACACGTGCGGAGCTCGTAGCCGAGCCGTGCGGCGCAGTCAGAGCTCAACACACACCAGCTGTTATCATCACTGCTGTTGTCAGTTGAGTATGTTCCAAACTGGGATGCAGTCACCCAGGGGCCATCAGCAGGAGAACTCAGAGATGGCGTTAAGTGACACTGATTCACCAGCGAGATGCATCCCAGCCCAATTCCCTTCCAGTTCTCTGACACGCTCAGGAGAGAAGTCTCAGCAGCAGCCAGCGTGTCCCAACACCCCTCCAGGCCTCCCCACCCTCTCCTTTGAACAAAACAAAAGCAGAGCTCAGGCCCCCCAGGTAAGCAGACCATACTATCTAGTTAGAATTACCTGGCTTTATTTCCATTTGTTTTAATGCTTGTCTCCTTTTTCACAGCGAAGCCCAGCTTCTATTTACAGCAGTCACACAGAGCACTCTTCTAAACTAAGCTGATTTAATTAAAAAATAAACAAATCAGTGAGCCAATTTAAATAAAAGACAAACTAAAACACAGGACAGGTGGCACAGGTTAGAGCAAATTCTTGGAGTTTAAGACATGGTTCAGTTCTGGCTGCACGGTGACCTGCCAGGACTTGCATGCCTCCCAGGATGGGGAACTCACTCCCTGTATCACCAACACCTCTGACTGGAAATAAGTTTTCCTTTTGCTGTAAGCCAAAATATGCCTCCCTAAATCTCCAACCCCTCAGGATCAGCTGGAAAAACCCCAGACCTCACCTACAGAAAAGTCCTTTAGCTACTGTGCCATTTCTCAAAGTGCCAGAATCCCTAGGGATGCTTATTAAAATATTATTATTCGCTGGCCCAGCCCAGTGGCGTAGTGGTTAAGTTTGCCCTCTCCACTTTGGCAGCCTGGGACTCGCAGGTTTGGATCCCGGGCATGGACCTATGCACCGCTTATCAAGCCATGCTGTGGCAGGTATCCCACATATAAATTAGAGGAAGATGGGCATGGATGTTAGCCCAGGGCCAATCTTCCTCAGCAAAAAGAGGAGGATTGGCAACAGATGTTAGCTCAGGGCTAATCTTCCTCACACACACACACACACAAAAAAAATACATTATTATTCAGAATATAGATTCCTAGGCCCCTGCCCAGATGCTCTGAATCAAACCATCTGGGATGGGGTCCCGGAATCAGAATTTCCAAACAATCCTGATGATTCTGATGCTTCTTAAAGTCAAAGAAAAGTCTTTTTGAGGGCAAATGGCCCCAATTTTCACAAGCAAATGCTACATGAGTTTAACTGCAGGGGGCATACACAAGCGCAGGTTAGCACAAGTCTTGAGAACAGTGGTTCTCCACCGGGGGTGATCTGGGCCCCCAGGAGACATCCGGCAATGTCTGGAGACATTCGTGGTTGCCACAGTCTGGGGGAGGGGTGCTGCTATGGGCATTTAGTGGGTCAAGACCAGGGATGCTGTTAAACATCCTACAATGCACAGGATGGCCCCCACAACAAAGAGGGTCAACAGCGCGGAGGTTAAGAAGCCCCACCGCAGATCAGAAGGATCTCGGAAGCGTGGGCTCGTGTCTCTTACCCTTCACATCTGTACCCTCCACAGCACCATGCCCGGCCCGCAATTAGCCCTCAGTAAAAACATCCTCCAGCTTCAAACTCTCCAGTGGCTTCCCACAGACTGAGAAATCACCCCCATCTTCCCCACTGGCCTTCCCCCTCCTCGTCTGCTCCCCCGCCCCTAACACCTGGCCACAGGCACCCCGGCTTTCGCACCTGCTGTTCCCTCTGCAGGGAATGCTCTTCCCATGGCTGGCTCCTTCACACTCAAACGTCACCTCCTTGGAGAAATCTCTCACCCTGAGGCGTCTGAGATCAAGCAGCGCCCACCCTCACCCCCGCCATCTTTCTACAGCACACCTCATTATTGACAATTGTCTTTTTACAAAGTTTTCAAGCTTGTCATCTGTCTTCCCTCCACCAGAATGGAAGCCCCCGGGGACCAGAGACAATCGTTTTTGCATTGTGTCTCTGGCCTTTAGGACAATGTGTGGCACACAGGAGGCGCCCAAACATCCAGTTGAATGAATAAATGAGCCAACTTCTAGCACTGGCCAAGATGCAAGGACACGGCTCCCACATACAGCTGAAGGGACAAGTGTCCCTCAACCTCTCGGGAAAGTGGGCTGGCAGATGCGAACCCCATAACCCAGCCACCCTGTTCCTGGGACGCTGCCTGGAGCAACCAGAGCTCCACGTAAAAGCTTATACACAGAAAAAAGACGCTGATTGTAGCACTGTTCTGAGAGGCAAAAACCACCAACCAACAATCATACAAAAACTTGGAAACAAACTAAGCACCCAGCAGTGAAGCCATGGTCGAATAAATGGCAGGCATCCGTTCTATGAAATTGCAGTGGCCTCCAGAAAGCAGGAGTTAGTCTGACGTCACAGATATGTCACTTGATTAAGTAAGAAAAGCAAGTTGCCCAGTCTCGTACATACCTTTAACCCCTTTGTGTGAAACCAAACCAGCACGTGGGGGGTGTGCTTCCGTGCCGCGTGTCTGAGCCCGGGGAAAGCCATGGAATGAGGGACACCCAGTGGTGCCTCGAGGGGACAGAGTGGGAATGCGAACGGGGAGTCATTAATTTTTTTCCTTTGTGTTCTTTTGTTTCCCTGGGTGCAGTGACTTCATATTACTGTTGTAATTTAATCTAAAAAAATGTATTCTTTCTGGACTGGCAGTCTCGGACTCCTATCCCTGCACTGTGAGGTCCACAACACTGGCTCCTTTGGCTGGACGTGGATGACACCAGAGCCGGCTTACTCAGGAGGCACACTGGGCCCGGGGGCCACGAGCATGTCTTAATTTGTTTTAAAATCATAAGAAAAAAAGGTGAATCTAATCCAGCCTGGATTATATTTGTCTTTATAGCAGTTCGATCACAAACCATAATCTTTAATGTTTTTCTTTTTATGTAAAAAGGAGCCCATGAAGGCAACAAAGGCACTGTGGCCCTGAGAGCGACATGTGCCCGGGGCTGGTGACCACTGAACCCAGTGTGGCCTGAGATCTGTGGCTGCAAAGCCAGCGGCTTCCTCATTTATCCTCTTCCCCTGAGCTTTCTGGCATTTCCTTCCTTTCATTGTTTCTAAGGGGAGATTCCCATGGGGAAAAATATCGTGCACCTTTGTCTCAGATGAGTGGAAAGGAAAAAAGATTTCCCACTTGTCTGGTGGTTAAGTGTGAGGGTTCTGGAACCTGCATGCCTGGCTGTAGAGTCAGATGATTCACTTAAAGTCTCTGAGCCTCAGTTTCCCCATCTGTAAAATGGGGTGATGGGGGTCCTACCTTGGAGATACTGAGATGCCCATAAATGAGGTCATCCTGGCAAACTGCCCAGAACAGCACTTTGAGTGCCCAATACTCGTTCCCTGAACAAATCAAGCCCTGGTCAGGAGTGGGTAGGGGACAGTGACCCTTCAGAGGACTCTGACCCCCCCCTTTAAGAAGGCCCTCTCACAGGGGGCTGGCCTGGTGGCACAGCGGTTAAGTTCACACACTCCACTTCGGCAGCCCGGGGTTCGCAGGTTTGGATCCCGGGTGCAGACATACTCACCGCTCATCAAGCCATGCTGTGTGTGGCAGGCATCCCACATATAACCTAGAGGAAGATGGGCACAGATGTTAGCCCAGGGCCAATCTTCCTCAGCAAAAAGAGCAGTACTGGCAACAGATGTTAGCTCAGGGCTAATCTTCCTCACCAAAAAAACAAGAAAGGCCCTGTGGGAGACAAGAGAAGAAACAGCCCCTCTTAGCCCCACATCCTGTCACCACACACTTGCCGCCCTTCCAGGTCCCCACCCGCTCCAGAGCCTTCTATGGGCCAGACAAGGCTGTGATGGGCAGGAAGGAGCTGGGGACTCTGGGGGCCCTAGGCTAGATGTGTGGGGTGGGGCAGGAAGGCAGGCAGCTCTGCTAGGCCCACCTGTCCAGGCGTACACAGTCCTTCACACACACTTTTGGAAGGGGCACACCCAGAGGCACCCTCACAAAGACACCATGGACAGAAATAAAGGCAGACACACACACTTACCCAGAGACATGGACACACACAGTCACCCAGAGATACCCCCCAAGAGAGACAGGCAAAGACCAGACACAGGTGGACACCCAGAGACACCAAGACAGGTAGGCGTACACACAAGCAAAGGAAGGGCACACGAGCCACCCAGAAACACACACAGAGACAGCCAAAGCCGGAGTGTCCGCGCAGCACACAGTCAGGAGCACACACAGACCCGCCTTCTTCCTGACACATCAGATCAGGTCGTAATCCGAGCCCACACGCCCTCACCCCCGGGCTGCACACCCTCTCTCCGGCCAGGGCCCCTCACCCTCTCCCTCAGCCCATACTCCCCTGCCCTGAGTCCGCAGTCCCCTCACCTGGGCCCGCACACCCTCCCCTTCCTCCACACCCCCTCCCGGGCCCGCACACCCCTGCTCTGG